TCAGTACCAAATTTATTTTTTCTTTTGGTATAGATCTAGGTTACAGTAAAACTAGTCAGCCACTTCAAGTACTTGGTCTTGACCAAATCATAGCTCAAAGAAACTACTTAGAGCAATCATCCAAAGTAAAGGCTCTGCAAGTACATGTACTTTGTTCATGTTTGATTCATTAATAAAGGTTGTTCACTTTGTGTGTTATTTGTGTCCAGTCTCATTATTTTATAGCACATTGACTCAGTTAAGTAAGAGTTTTAGTTTCACTTCATGATCAAAATCTTAAACAAATCTGTTATTTAGCAGACCTATCCAATACCTCAAACAAATGTTCAGTTTACCTGAATATACTATATGCTCACTGGTTGTTCTTTCCATATTTTGACAGCATGCTTATGATTATAATTAATAAATGCATTAGAGTCTTCAAAATAAAATGTAAGGTTTAATTAACAGGAAATATACATAACTCTCTGTAACAATAACATTTTATGTTCTATACTCTAGAATTCTCATGCCTTTACATACATCTAATGGGTAGTGGCAACTCACCACTATTGACTAATATACAACTATCAGATGGGTATGAGGCCATGATGGAATAGAAGCAGGGGTGTTCACAATCTCATGGTAAGCCACGATGAGCACTTTAAAAGCTACAATTGGGAAAAGTATGTGAGGGGTCCACCCCATAAATTTTTTTTATCAGCTCTTCCAAGTACTTTTGGTGCATTTTGATGTTAATTTATTTACACTTCATAAACATTTCATGACCTTGTTTTTGTGCTCCTTCTGTACAAAATATTGTATATAATAACCACAAGCATAACTAAGTTCTAATATTAGGTCCTGAAATGTTTCCAGGGGCTTGCCAAACTTAACAATTAATTTAGAGAACCAGATATTAGTAAATGTAACAAACTGATATTTAACACAATATTTGGGACATCTGCAGCATGAGTGTCAGTAGGTACTACACATAAAGGCAGGTTAGTAATGTTATTAAGTCACTAAATATTCAACAAGACATACAACAGCTCTTTTAACAAAATATATCAATTTTTGTATTTTACAAGAATTTTTACATGAACTGATTCAGTTTACAGAATGAACAAATATAAAGTCTGTTCATATTTGGAACCATATACAGCAATAGATTTCTTTGCCAAGACTATTTTTGACATCCCCAAACCCTGCCTAATTCTTGAACGTATGTTTACAAACTAAGATTATTGCCATGACGAGACAGTATTCAATGACCCTAACTTACCCACATAAACCTTTATACGGACATGATGAAATTTTGTAAAACATGTAGCAATGTAAACTGAGAAAAATGGGCAACAACCCTCATACTGCATTCTAGTCCAAACAGGTTAATTATGCCATTGCCTTACTTAACATAGGTACAAGGGACCATTTCATTCTTCAATGCTATTTCTGCACAGTTTCATCTGTGGTAAAAGTAAAAACTAACAACCAATAATTATTTTTCAGGAACTTATGAATTCCTATTTTAAACTCTTGTAAAATGCCAGCCTCCACTCTAGTGTCAATAGCAACTCATTCCATAAGCCAATAACCCCAACTGAAAAATAAAACTGTTCCACTTAGAGTTGAGCCAGTCTTTTTTTCCAAATCTTAAATTTGCATTCTCATGTCTTGTCGTCAGATTATAGCAAAATAAGTAATGTACCTTCATCTTATCAATCTTTTGGGTAAAGTAAACTTAAATAATATCACCCATTATTCTTCTTTTCTCAAAAGAAAATAAATTAAAAGATGCTTTTCTATTCCCTAGCTTAAGATAAACCTTCTTTCCCCAAAATCACCCTAGTAGCAGCACTCCTCTGAGCACTTTCCAACAAGTCAATACGATAAGAAAACAAAAATTTTACACACTATTCCAAGCAAAGCCTAACTCTTGAAAACAATGATTTGTTTGGAGAGATAACTACCTCTTTCAACATGTAATAAGTGCCTGTAAATACAATATAATTATATAGCTTGATTGACTTATTCATCACTATACGAAGATCCTTTTTTTTTCTGTCATGTTGTTAAGTAGGTTCCCACCTATGTTAAATGTTATCCAAATTATACCTTAAACACACTACCTTACACTTATTATAATTCAAAATCATTTGCCAAGTATTTGTCCAACTTAAAATTTATCCAATTAAGTCACACCTCAACATCCTCAATACAGCTGAAACAACCCAAAAGTTTAATTTCATCAGCAAATATTACTAATTTACTATTGCGCTTCTATCAATATATGATCTTTATCCTAATTCTGATGTGCTAGGATACAAACAAATAAAAAAATTATACTACACCAAGTTACTCCAGTAATGCATTTCAATCACTACTATGTCCAAGAAGCCTGAAGAGCCCTAGTACTGGTACTGTTATTGGGCAAAAGACCCAGCAGTACTGGATATAGCAGATATAGTGTAGCTGACATGTTATTATACACTCTTCTTTACATTTACTCATAACTTCTTATTAATGACTTTTGTAAATAAGAAGAGACAAAGGCCCATGTCCTGACTCCTGAGGTACCCCACATGCAACAAGAGTCCAGTCTAACTGGACTCCATTAATAAGAAACTTTTGCTTTCTTCCATTCAACCACTCTAAAATCCAATTGACTAGTCTTGCCATATCAATGTAATTTTCTTAAATAATCTTTTGTGTGATATCTTATCAAAATCTTGTTCAAATATATCACCAAATCCACACATTTCAGTTAATCTCTCAGTCTTTCTACTTACGACCTAGGGATTAATAACTATATGATTCATGTCAATTCCCATAGAATGATCAAAGTCATGAATATTGCTGGTATCTTCTCCCATTATCTATAATGTTATGTTAAAAAAATTTTTAAAGTTCAAAAACATTTTGTCTTTAAAGCTAGTGCCTGCATGTAGGATCTTTATATCTTTGCTGAGTAGGAAAGCAGCCACCACAACTTCAAGAAATTCCTCAGTCTCAAATGATGAAAACAGACTATGCCAATCAATTTCATTAAAATTAGTCTCCCATGATAACAAGCTTTTTTCTATTGGCAAAAAAAAAAAAAGAAGTTAAGCTACCTGAACAAACTCCTATCAATATCACGAACATGACCCGATTGTCTATAGAAAAACAAAACAATAAACATTTTTTTTTTTTACATTTTCTTCAGGAAACTGATCTGATACACTATATTTTGTGTAATCTCGATGGAAAAAACATTTCTCATAAGCTTTCAGCTCACTTATAACAAATACAGTTACTTCTTTCTATATTTTATTAGCCATGTCCTTACTAATTTAAAGATCTTAAAACCTTTTGAAATAACATAACATCTCCAAAATATTCATTTAACCAAAAATCAGTAGTTCTAATTACATTAACATGCTAACTACCATCAAAGCTTTTAATTCAAGACAATTGTTTGAAAGATTTAGCATCAGTATAAAAAAAAAAATATTTTCAACAAACCTAGTTATTACTATTACTAATTAATTCATTGATTTCATATCCTACAAAGTTCATGAAATTATCTTTCAAAGAGGAAGAAATTTCTTCATTACTACCTGAACAATTACATAATTCAGTTATTCAACAACCAATCTGCTAATCAATGAAATTGAAGTTTGTGGTTGGGTAGGCTACACAGGAGTATCACAGTTTTTGATATCTAAGTTAGAACCATGAAAAATTTAAGTTCACTTTTATTTATAAGATATTATCAATTCTTCTTTTTAGGTGTTGGTCTTCATTTCTGTCAATAACCCCGTTAGAAAAAAAAATGTCTTAAATAAGACTATCTTTGTAAGATGACCATTCCACATCTGGAACCATCCTTGTAGCCCTCTTTAATAATTCAGTATCCTTTCTTAAATGAGAAAAGAAAATTGCACACAGTATTTCAAATGAGGCTTAATTAGTGATTTGCATAGAGGTACATATAATTACCTTTTATGACTTGTACTCAAAATGTCTATAAATACACACTAAAATTCTACTGGCTTTACTATTAGCAAAAGAGTACTGCTTTGATGGCTTCAGTGACTTAATTCACCACTAAATACCAAAATCATTTTCTTCACTCACACTATTGAGTTGGCTCCCACTTACCAGTCCATTAAATATTAGTAATATCTAATAATAAAAAAATAAAAATCATTTAGGCCAATGCAATTTAAAATATCCCAAATCATATTACTAAAAAATAATAATATACTTACTGCAAAGACTATTAGTATTAAAATTGCCTAATTTGCAGACATTTATCCTGCCAAATCTATCCCTAGTCCAACCACCCTTATCATTAAACACGAAAAATGAAATGATACAACATTCCTATCTTTTCTATTTATATTATAATTTAAAATTTTGAACACTTCAACGGATCCAATATAACCTTTATTTTCTTGAGAAAAATCATTTTAAAAACTTTATTTAAATTGTCCTCGAATGATAGGCCCCTCCATCCCAAAATCATCCTATAAGTAAAATACAACTACAAGTAGTAGCCCTCCTTTGAACTCTTTCCAATAACTCCACGACAATACTCTAACAGTCTATGTGTGGCCTAACCAGTGAAATGCTCAAAGAAACGATAACCTTCTTTGACTTATGTTTAATATTATTATAAATACAACCCTAAACCCTAGTTGCTTACCCACTGGTAACAATAATCTGCCCAAAAGGCTTAAGAATAAGATCGACCAAATTACACTGCTGAGTAAACTTAATTAAATAGTATTCCAATGGCAATACCCTAAAAGAAAAAAGGGAAACTTTCCATTTTAGTGTAATACTCAAAACAAAAGTACTGCTCAACTGTCGTGTGAGACCAGTCAATTCGTAATCCATTATCAATAAGTTAAAAACATTATAATAAAATATTTAGCTAGCTTGAGGATTTATGAGGATATGTAACCGGAAGTCATATATAGTCCAAACAACCACTAGGTGTCTCTGCATGTTTAAGCGGAAGCAGACGAAATATTCGCCACGCCATAAGTTAGTTGTTTGTGACGCTAAAATTAGTAAAAATGGATTATTTGAAAAGTGGCTTAAAATCTGTTTTGGGTGCCCAAGCAGATTCACAACAACCAACCGCAGCTGAAACAGTAAGAAATAAATTTTGACTTTTCTTAATTTCACAATAAAATTAGTTGTGTTGTTGGCTAATTTGAGTTATTTTTATATCGTTACTAAAATATTAGCTACCAAGAGTCCCAGAATCCATTACCTACAACAACTTGAACAAGTACACATGGTTAAGTGTTCAGTAATGACACACAGTAACTAAAGTTACAGACATTTGCTGTTGCCGTAATGAACTTCACTTTGAGTAGCCTATGACATTTACCTTTGGTAATTACAAAACGTTAATAATAAACGGAGGGTTGACGCTTATTGAAAATACTTTGTAAACCTAGAGCCAGGCTACACAAACATCTACCCTAAATCTTGAGCCAGCCTACTACTAGTACTAGAGCATGATAAATTATTCAGGTGTAATCGTACTCATAATCACAGGGTTGAGGAAATATGATTATTTTATTAAACAATACAAGGTACACGGAAAAAGAAAGAAAAAAAAACAAAAAACATTGACACTAGTAGTAGTAATGATATGTAGACCAAAGCACAAACAGGAAATTATATAGATTTTTGCCGGCAGAAAAAAAAATCAGTAATTTTTCTTTCTTTCCAAAGGCAAAACAACATACATAAAATTACTTATGAACTTTGCAAATCAACATATCACTTTATAAAACCAGCTTTCAGGCATTGTAATATTATTATTAATAATGGAGAGTTATTTGCTTCGGACTTGAGTTCTGGTAACTCAGTTGGAAAGTCTTAGGTCACGTGTCGGAGCACTGCATCCTCTGGATTTTACAGTGCTAAAATCCAGAGTTCAATTCCCTGTGATGGATACAGTAGGTAGTCCAATGTGGCTTTGCTCTAAAACAAACTCAAACTTGCAGCACTGGTTTTATTATATGAAGTATTCCATGAAAAAGAAATACATGTACAAATAAGTTGCATGTTATTTTAAGAAAGAGGAATTATGGATTTTTTTCTCTTCAAAAACAAGTATAAAAAACTCATTTGTATTCTCAACATTTAAATAGATTTCTCTAACTCTTTTGGGAATAGAGTTCTGGAGTCTGGATCTTTCCAGTTGAGTATTGTCATATCATTAACCATGAAGTTGGAAATATATATATATAAGTACTAAAAATAACAATTGAACTGTTAAGTAAAAAAGTGTATTTAAATATCACAGAACAATTATATACTGATTTTTTCAACATCATGATTTGTATTTTCTCTCTCTTTTTTTTTATAGATTTTGTAACTGATGATTTGTTTCTGATGGTTGAAAATATATAGTGTAGAAATTGGGGGATGAGAAAGAAGCTTAGTGTTTGGGAATGGGACTGAATTCTGGCCCTCTATATTGTCAAGGAAGATCCTTGGATTTCTTGCTTCAGCATTTACAGCCTATGTCAATGTAGATAACCAACGTAAATGCAAGCAAGGAAATCAGGCATAATTTTTAAGCTGCAAGCAAACCATTCCACAAGTATATAACTTACTGAAACAAAATTTTGTTTAACAACTTTGCATCAAGTTAATATGAATATACTAAAGGAAAATAATGTCTTAAGATGTTGTTTTTTCAAGGTTGTTACTTATTATATGGAAGAGGGAAAAGGTGTGGATTTGGTGTACTTAGATTTTCAAAAAACGTTTAGTAAGGTACCACTCAAAAGATTAACTAAAAAAATTAAATTGACAGGGATTCTAGAAAGAGTAATTAACTGAACTGTAGGATGTTTGGATGGGAGCAAGTAAAAGGATGTTATTAATGGAGTAAGTTAAATTGGAGCTGGTTATTGTTACTAATGGAGTACCTTAGAGGTCAGTGCTTGGGCCTTTGTTCATTCTTGTTTGTACTAATGATATTCAAAGGTTCTTGATGATTTTCTGGAAATTAAATGGTGGTCTTAAGTGTTTACTTTTCCTAATTGTGTATATATGAGGACAGTTTTGAAGACTAACTGGTCCCTTGCTGACCTTAGGTGATGTTATATTAATATTTAAGTTATAAATTATGGGACATAAAAGAGCTTTTTGGCTGATTGAAGAAAAACTAATCTGTAAATATAGCCCTGATTTCTCAAATATTCATAACATTTTCTTAAACTCTTGTAAAGCTGTAGTTGTCAGCACTTTAGATGGCAGTTTATTCCACAGAATTACTGTCTTATTAGGGAAATAAAACTGCCTCAACCAGAAATGTGTGATTTTAAAAATCTTTACATGTAGTTTATCACCTCTTTATCACCTACTGCTCTCAGGATTCAAGGACTGTACAAGCCAGTAGGCCACACTTAGAATAATGTGTACAAGTATTTTATAAGATACAAAAAACAAGGAACTATTTGGCCCTTGAAAGAAAGTAAAAATTTAAATCTACCCATTATTTCTTAGGAAGCCATCAGTTCCCTACTTAAAATCTTGTAACGTCCTGGCCATCACTTTGGTCGATGGCATTTCATGAGCCAATCACTCTCTTAGTAAATATAAATACCATCTTAACTGGATTATGCATATAGCTAGGCTACTGAATTCAACTTTTTTTCTCCAGTGTATACTCATGAATATTTAAATAGCATTCTTCATCCAGAACAATTGCTGGAAGGAAACACAGTTGATGAACAAGATGGTTATATTAATATTGATCTTATTAAGAAAAACATTGGGAAGTTTAAAGATGGACAGGGCTTCCGGCCCAGATGTTATTTTTCCAAAGGTTATGAAGGAGGTTAAGGACTGGATATGTGAGCAAATTGCTAATATTTTTTGAAAGTCTTTGAGTAATGGAAAAAGTGCCAGAAAATGGGTAATGCTACTCCTCTTTTTTTTAAGGGAGGTGATAAAAATTGTCCGTTTAAGTATAGCCCTATTAGTCTTAAATCACTGGTTGTAAAAGTTATTGAAAATCTGAGTAAAGATACATTGCAAAGTAATTAACATCTTTTAAAATATTTTTGGAGAATAAACATGGTTTCAGTATGGGAAAATCTTATCTTTCTAATCTTTTGACATTCTTAAGTAGGTTACTGTTTATGTGGATGAGGTTAAAGTTGTGGATTTTGTTTTCCTGTATTTGACAAGATGCCAAGTAAAAGTCTTGTTAAAAATATTCTCTCTTTGAGTTGGCTTCTTGAATCAAAAAATGGCTAGAGAGAATAAATTGGAGGTTATAAATGGAGTTCAGACAAACTGTTTTAATGCCGTAAGTGGGGGATACCTCAGTGTTCATTGTTGGGATCTTTGTTCTTTTGGATTTACATTAATGAAATAGATAAAAGAATTGTTCAATAAATTGCTTAAATTTGCTGAGCCCCCTGTGGCACAGTGGTATGTCTGTGGATTTACAGTGCTAGAAACTGGGTTTCGATACCTGTGGTGGGTAGAGCACAGATTTCCCTTTATGTAGCTTTGTGCTTCACTACAATCAAACAAACTTTGCTGATAATCCTAAAGTTTGGTTTTGCTGGTTGTGAAGAGGTTGCTGCTGCTTTCTAAAAGGATTTAGGTCACTTGGTAAGTTGGGCAAATATCTGGCATATAGCTTTTAATTATAATAAATGTAGGGTAATGCACCTTGGTTATCTTAATTTAAGTTATATTGTTGTAAGCTATATTTTGAATGTTCTAATTTAAATGTTTGCTAGAAAGAGCCGCTAATCATAATGATGTAATTATTGAGGTTTGTGTAGTATGTGGAAGTAGAAGGATACATTATAAATACAAGAGAGTAATGAATGAGAAGTTAATGAACAGTTAAGGAGTGAGTGATACAGTTCAGTGCCAAAAAAGTTATTCAATGAGAATTATCATGTATGTTTAGTTAATCGATCAGGAAGCAGAAGCTCTGGCAAGGAAAGTCATCACTTAATTTGTTTCAAGATTTGGCATGCTTAAGGATCTTAATGCAAATCAGAAATGAAACTATGAATCAGCCTTGTTTGCTGAAATGTGTCAAATCCTTGGAACCAAAAAGACCAGGACAACAGCTTTTTATCCATCTCATGATGACATGGTGGAGAGAAATAACCATATGTTTAATTAGCCATTTATCAGAAAACATGGAATCAAGATGTTCCATTGCTAATTATGAGTTATCAAACAACATTATAGGAAGATACAGGTAACACATCATGATCACTGGTTTTTGAGAAAGAACTTAAAGTGCCATTGGACTTCCTGTACTCAGATCCAGAGGTTGATCACTTAGAGTGTTGAATAGAGTATGCAAAGGGACTAAGAAACACCATTGAGGTCATACAGGACTTTATCTGTGAAAGACTTAAATCAGCTAGTGATAAAATAAAAAGATGTTATAATGTTAATGCTGATTAGACTATATTCCATTGAGGTATGTTATGGTTGTATATAATCTCCACAGCAAGAAAGGATGTACTCCAGTTAAGCAGGTGTTGGGAAGTATATTGGTGAGAGATTGGCCACCTGAGTAACTCCAAGGAAGAATCTGTCTACAGAAAATATACCTGCTGGGAACCCTAGGATTACTGTCAAGACCGCTTCCAGAATAACAACAAGGATAGAGTCACCAGTGGATTTGCTTGATTACCTGCCCAGGGTGAACTTCCCAAGTGACAACAAGGGAAAAGAGGCCATTTTTTCTGTATACCATAACTCTCATAAAAGAAAACCACCAAAAGACTTGGTGAATGGACAGTTTAGTGATTTTTGTATTAGAATTTTTAAGTAACTTCACAAAACATGAAAATTGCATTTTTGAAACCTATTGTTTTCAGCTAAACGATTATCAAGGAAATTCTCTGAGTTTTGTATTTGTAAGTATGTATAATTTTGATAGGAATAACTGTAACACTGTTATGGAAGAAAAGAACCTTGGTGTTTTGATTGATCAGTCTCTTAAGCCATCTAAGTAATAAGCTGTTACTAGTGATAGGACAAAGAGAATTTTGGTTTGTATTCACAAAAATATTACATGTCTGATGATGTTATTCTTTTATTGTACTTTTATACTGTAGGTCACTCGTTAGGCATCATTTGA